ACAAACCTTAGGAAAGGATTTATCACTTTATCATTGAACAGCTTTCGGGGTGAACAAAGCCTACCTACCAATGCCTAAGTGATAGAAATTTAACACTTAATGAGGACAAAACTCTTTTTATGACTTTTCCATTAATAAAGTCTGTTCAAATCTTAATCCAATAATAATTAATAACTGGATGCGTTGACGGGACACTCGTAATAATTTAAATAAATCTACCCATATCAAAGAAGTAACAATAATACTTGTATCATTTTCTACAATAATTTCGTGGAATCGGTTTTTTCAAAATTTGGTTGGTAAGCTACTCTTAATAATTAACAAATTTTACAAAATAACAAGGGATTTAATACCTATATCAATAATTCTTGTTATTTACTTTGCGTTCTTTCATCTATACAAAGTTAAAGACTCCAAGAGTAGYATAGGCTGTATTTTATCTAAAAACAAAGATACAAAATTTATAAAAATAAAAAAAAAACACAAGGATTTTAGCTCACAAACAAACAATTTATTTTTGATTATTATATTCATTTTTGTGGCCAATTTGCTATTAATTTATAAGTAAATAGTTATTGTGATTGAATATACATGTACCTATTTTATAAAAAGTGCATGTGTTCTCGAGGTGGGTGTATATTACTGCAGGTATCACAAGGAAGTTTATAAATATATAATATATAATATAAACTATATTTAAAATAATAAATTTCCTTGAACTACAATGATTAATAAGTGAAAATGCTTCTAACCAAAATTTAGTATAATTTATAGATATAGATACAATTCATGTAATTTTTTTTTCTTTTTATATATATTTCTCACTTTAAGCCCAATGGCCCATGTTGCCGAGGGTGTCAATAATAAAAAAAAAAAAAAATAAGCGAAAATATTTTTTATAAATTAAAAATTGGGTGGGTGAGTGACTAAACTTTTTTAAACTGCATTTGCTCTTAAAATACTATACTGTTTGTTATTGTATCTATTTGTACCTAGCTACTGCATCATATTATTTTATTACTTTATAGTTTTAGTTTATTATTCAAAGCCAAATTATACAACAATTGACAAAAAAAAAAAAATGGTACTTATGAAAGTAGGTGGCACTGAAAGAGGTTTTTTTTGTTTTCAAAAGTAAATCAAGGTCTTTCTAGTCTGCTTATATAATAATTCATTTTCATATTTCTCAGAGCAAAAAAATCTGTACAGCTACCCCTTGCAATTTATTATACGTATTTACACTCACATATATTCACTCGTGTAAAACTTTAACGAAATAAGTTTAAACGGTGGCTCAGGCCAAACTACCTCATGTGGCGCAAAGCTTTAATGATCGTGTGGATGCCACGTTGATGGAGACTCCGGCGCTATCCCCTGAGGGACGCTCGGGAATTTTCTGACAACGGTTCGCACGGTCGTCATCGGTCGGGTCAATTGTTATAGCGCTTTTATTGCCGTCTGTCGTGCACATTAAAATAATAAATATAATGACATAATGTAGATCGCGGGAAAAAAATCATAATTTTCAAAACTATATAATATTCGGTTCGTCTGTTTATGTTGGGCTTTAAGTGTACCTAGTACCTACAGTATAATATAGCACTTGTAACTATCTGCAGGTCCGATGTAAGCTGTTTATCGCAACATATAGATATTTACAGACAAAGGATATTCTACAAATTTTCGGAATTTTAAAATACACTCAAGGTTATTCATTCCATTTTTACATTGAAAAAATGTTGATGTACCTAATTGGACATTTTAATAATCAGTTTTTCAGTTATTAGARGTATAAAAATGTTTTTACCAATAGAAGTGCATAGTCCCATCTTTAAAGTTGATATTTATTTTTATTTCCAAGTTGTTACTATAATAAGTTATTAAACTTAAATTAAGATAATATTTAGTCACCCAGATTAAAAAAAAAGATCTAAACTTAAAACAGGCATGGTAAAATAAATCATGATTTTGACTATAAATAAGTTAAAATGAGATAAATATCTCCAAGGATCTTCGTTTAACAGCCTCAAAAATTTTGGACTTATATATTAAAATTAAAATTATTTCATATAAAAAAATAATGTCCTGACTGACATTTCTCATTTCACGGGCCAGGGAAGAAATCTATAGTTATGATGACCAATCACCAATCTGCATTGTTTAGTCATCATTATCACGAAAATTTTCTTATCTTTTTATCTTATATAACTTATCTAAGTAATATTTTGGAACAAGATTTTAAATTTCCTTTGTATTCCTAAGTATTTTTATTTTTTACAATAGTTGTCTTTTATCCATTAGTTATCTAGATGAATAGCTATTAAATAAATATTTAAATGTTTTTGATTATCTTATTTAGATATTAATAGATAATTTTTAAAATATGCCAYGTATAATACTAAAATAATATTATGTATTATAATTTATAGTCAAGGAATTGTGTTTACGGAAAGTACAAATAAAATTAATGTTGCACCCAGGCGCGGATCCAGCCTACATTAACGTGAGGGTGGATTATAAATATCTAAATATATTTACTATTTACCTTCTGTTAAATACGAGTATATATATAATATAATATATATATATATCATGAGCGTAGGTAGGAAATATTTTCGGAGGGGTTTTTTGTCTAAATCTATATTAATATGATAAAATTAAGAATCATTTATTTGTATGTATTAAATAATATAATTTTAATTATAATTATTTATAATATAAATACAATATTTTGTCCATATAATTTACAAATTTAAAAATATAAAAAAAATTATAAGATAAAACTTTCTTTTCTTGGTTAGGTTAGATTGTTTTATTTAATTTCGGGGGGTGTTTGAACACCCAAACCCCCCCCCTTACCTACGCCCATGATATATATATATATATATATAAGCATGCAATAGTACTAAAGTACTTATAATGCAATAATTGTTTATTAATTATAACGAATACCTTTTTTTCTTAAACCGAATTGAATGTCTTTATTGAATAAAATATTACAATAAAATATTATATACAAATTTAAATGTTAAAACATATATTAGTTGCTAATCATATAATAAAGTCCAATCTACTGTTTTCTGATTGAGCAAATATGTCAATGAATTCATCATGGTTTATAATGATGAAAAATTCTGTTGAGCTGTTGCACCTGTAGATGGCAACGTGATAAGTATTTTTATTAAGACATAAATTCCAGAAAAACAGTCTGGGTCATATTGTTTGAGAGCTTCTAAAGGCGACAAAGATAATTGATCGTCTTATAACCAATTATTATGCCAAACTTCTGATTCACCCATTAACGTAGATTCTAAAATATCTCTRGGTATATTTATATCACAAGCTACTAGGTCACCGAATTGATTTATTACGTTTTTATTTTGTTTTCTAATTTACATTTGTCATCAAAAATRGATTTAATTTTAATTATGTTGGACAGCACCACGTCCAGATCATAAACTGACATCAAATCTTCATCAAATCTAGATTCTAAGTAATTTAGTAAATTATCGAGAAAGGGAATAGCGTTACTCTAAAATATTCTTCAGCAGATTCAGTTTGAGGATTTTCCTGTTTTTCATTACTTACGATAATCTTGGCTTATTAATTCCTCCTGAAATTCCCAAGTTAATTACTTGACTTTCAGTGGTTTTAAATATTTTGTTAAAACAGTTATAACTATATTCTCGTTTTTTTTCTTCAAAATACAAATTACATTTTTAATTATTATTGGAGCTGAAAATTTATCATGGCTTTTGGACTTCAATAATTTACTGATTGGAGATGTTATATTAAGAGGACACTACACCCGCGTGTGTCGTTCCGTCTTACACGCGAACTACATAGCAAATTTTCATTCGCTAGATTTAATATTGTGCTGTTAGTTTTGATATTAGAGTGAATTGACTAATTATCAAACTTTTTGGTAAGAACATTATCTGTGTTCTCATGTTGGTTTTTTACGATATTTTAATATTTAAATGAGTTATGTGAATTTTCAAATATTCACACTTAACATGCTCATAACTCATTTAAAAATTAAAATATAGTAAAAAACCAACATGAGAACACAGATAATGTTCCTACCTAAAAGTTTGATAATGGGTCAATTCACTCTAATATCAAAACTAACAGCACACTTGACACTATTGAATCTAGTGAACAAAAATTTGCTATTATGACTGTACGCGTGTAAGACAGAGACAACACATGCGGGTGTAGCGTCCTCTTAAACATTTCTGAAACAGTTATTAATGTCAAAATAAAGTCACCATACGATGATGATTTAGATAACAAATAAGTAAGTTGCTTGAGTTGCAGTATTTATATTATCCCAATCTGATATTTTGTCTAATGCCTCGATTATAGAACTTAACCCTGTTAAAAATTATAAAACACAATCATGTTTTTCCACCAATCTTGTTTCACATAATGAATAAAAATAAAAATAAAATACGACGATTTGTGACTGAATAATATAACAATACATAGGAAAACACAAAATATTAAATTTAATTAATACATTTTGCGAAAAGTACGGCCAACGGAGTGGGGCAGTCGCCCCTACCACCCTACTGGATCCGCACCTTGAACAGCCCAGATTAAGGATCGACCTGGGACATCGTACACTTAGTGTGTATTCCTTTCAAATTTAACTTCAAAAAACTTGTATCTCACATTGTAATTTATCATATTGGTATCAATTATTAGAAATAGAATATCAATTTAATATTTATAATAATTCATATTCAATAATTGTATTCAATTATGTGTGATATAAAAATAAGAACGTTTTTATTTTGTAATTAGGTACTACCTACTAAAATATTATTTTGTTTTATTGAAAACTGTTTTGAACATATTAAAAAAAAAAGTATTTGGGGGATAAAAGTGTGTCCCAAAATCAATGGACCCCAACTGTGCCTCTCCTGGTACCCCTATCCCCCCTATCCCCCTTAATCCAAGTTTAACCTTGCAAAATAGCTGAAAATTCACACGAGTCATAGTAAATAATATTTATTTCATCAAAACATAATAATAAGTATTAATCAAGAATTCATATTTGGTGGCTTCTTTACTCGCGTTTTTCTTTTTGTGTATACTCATGTGATCTTATATCATATATATATATACTTATTATGTTTAGTGTTAATTGAAATATATATTGTGTATTTCGATTTAAAATGAGCATAAAACCAGGTTAAAATATAACGCTATAATATTATAACAATAACAATACATTATAACGTGCGTTTTTGCATTAGTTAAATTATTGTTTTAATATTATATTTAACGACACAAAATCAATGTCAATAATAATTATCATTATTATAATACAAGTGTGTCGACATCAGAGGTGAACAAAGTGTTATTTTTTTATCCGAGTTCAGCTAACACCGAATTCAAGTCTTCTTGCAACACCAGCGACATCTCCTTTTGTTTGTTGACGTCGTCCTGGAGTCGTTCCACGTTGGCCTTGAGCAAGTAATTTCCTTTTTTAAGTGACGTCAACCGCCCCTCGTAATACTTGGATCGGCGACATAGGTTTTCTTTCTTCTGTTCGGGCGTGGCCGTTGCAGGGGCTTCACCCTCGCTCTGCGGTTCGTCGTCGCTTTCTTCACTCTCAGACGATTCGCTTTCCTGAAAACATATCACACGCCATCAACATTATCGTTTTAATTATAATTATAATAATCCAGAAAAAAATTAAGATTTTAATTATATGATAGGTACCTATTTGATATCTCTTGCTAAAACTAAAAAATGTATAACTTCACAATACTAATTTAAAATAACATCTCTTACTCGTACATTCATAATGAGATATTATTAATGACAATATATAGTATGTACGCGATAATAATATATAGTAAATAATAATAATATCTACAAATAAGGCAAGTGGAACCAAAAACTCTCATGCCTCGGGAATTTGTCAAATTGTTATTCTTTTATATGAACCATATGAAGACTTTTCATACAAGTCACATTGGTTTCTAAATTAAAAATTCTAATATCAGAATTTTCACCTTATAAAGTCTAAATATCATTTATTTACCCCCAAAAACTTGAATTTTGAAATCATATATATTATCGACGAATAAAGGATCGATTCTGTATAGCTGCTACCTCTTCGTTTGTTTTTGAAACCCGTTTTAAGTATTGAGATTCATATGCAATTATTATTTCGTTGGTATCTTTTTTTTCTAATTTTACAAATATTATTATAAAATAAGTATAAATAACCTGCAAGGCTTAATGTTTAATGCGCTTAATAAACATTTTTTAATATTAATGCGCACTTATATATTTGGTATATACGCCTTAAAATATGAATGAAAAATTCAAAATACATTTAAAAAGAAAATAATATTAAACAATGATGCAAAAATATTTTTAATAAACATTTTCAATAGCTAAGATACTGTATTTTTATTTTTTTAGTTCTTATTTACATTATTTAATTATTTAATCTTTTTTTTCAAGAATAACAGTCCGCAGAAACTGTGAACATTGGACGCGATATTACATTTATATATTGCATTAACATCTAACTATTAGTACAGTACATTAGTAGTTAAAAAAAAGAAACAAAAAAACAGAGACATGGTTGGGTATTGCAGTGATTAAATTAACTTCTTTAAAGTATTGTTGTTTAATGTTTTAAACATAACAATTTATTAAAAGTCTTGATATGTTATATTTTTTATCTGCATTTTTAATCGTCAACAACAAATTTAAAAATTATTTAGTCAATTTATTATAAAATCGTCTTTCAACCATAGTTAAATCTTTCACAAGATAAATCACTTATAGCCAAATAATTATGTTTATAAAAAATTAAAAGTAATTAGAAAATTACACAACAATGCCTGTATGTATAATATATTTTCTTCATTGGCGCATTTAGGAATTTGTTATGATGGTCTACATAATTTCCCCTACATAAAGCTGTAATCTGATGATTACATAATATATTATATCCATGTTTTTTACCCCGTAAAATAAATTTAATATCGTTATGGTCCAGTAGAGAGACCTAAGACACCACCATAAATATGACACTGATGTTATTAAACAGTTCTAAAATTTGTATAAAATTTAAAATATCTCAAATTAAGTTTTATAGTAACATTGTATAGTTAAGAATTTAATGATGTAAAACATGTATTTTTACCAATCTTAATTATTTCACGTAGAAACAAAGAAATACACGATCAAATACTGAAATACCACATCCCTACAAGTTATTTAACATACTTAACATGTTTAATAACACATAATTATTTATATAAATTAATTTTTTTGAACCAATTGAAATAATTATTAATTAAGTGATTCAAGTATTGTTATTAGATTACTTTTCATTATTATAGTTAGGTATCTTAGGATTTATTGTAGGTATGAAATAATATTATCGATAAATAAGTTAAGATAACTTTAAGTTTAGTGTTGGATAAATGAGTTTAGGAAAAAAAAGTGGACTAGTGGGTATCGCTCTGCAGCTCTGCTGTATAGTAGAAATGGAGAGTAGGTCACAACAATGGATGTGTTAAATTTTAAATTTAAATGCAATGACAGGTGAACGGAGATGATCTGTCAGTCTAGAATATATTTTATTATCTTTATTTAAATCATAATACATTTTATACGCGCACAATATTTAAATATAAATCTTATACGCTAACAAAATGTTTTCCATATTAACTCAGGAGTTTTTTTTTACATTTATTTGAAAAAAAAACTTATGGAGAACCTTGTGTTGGGTTTTTAACCTTAAGTATAAATCACAACAATTTTAAACTTCATAATTCCATGCAAATTTTTGCGATTTTGACATATTTTGTAAACATTTGAACTGTAAATGTTTATAAACAAAAATTGTGACTAACAATTTTTAATTTTTTTTTACTACAATAAGTATAACTTATAATAAACTTTGAATTAAATTTTAAAGATTTTTTGGGCATACAAATTTTTTTTGTAGGCATTTCAAAAAATATGAACTTAGAAAATCAAAAATTTCAATTGTCTATAAATAGCTTTAAAAAATCAAAATATTTTGAAAATTTAATCGCAAATAGATAACGTTAATATAAACATTTGGTGAAAATTTCAAGTATTTACAATGATTCGTTTTTGAGTTACTAGTAAGCTGATTATGGGTAAAAATTTCCGTTTTTTCGTTACTTTTTTAATGTTTTTCCTAACACTTTTGAAAACGACTGKAAACTTTTTACTTTTGAACCTCCCACAGTACCTAGATTTTCCTTTTCAAAGAAAAGCTGAACTTAGGACACAACAAAAAAACATATATATCATTATAAAATCTAAAATGTAAATAGTATATATGTTACGGTAAAAGTACGAATATCGGTTAAACCTAGGTTTCACCGACGACTGTTGGTAAATGTGCGAAATTCGGACATTTACCAATTGATTTCGGTTAAACCTAGGAAATACAAAATTATTCAGCCAAACCCCGAATGATTTTTGTAGTTTGTACTTTTACAAACGGAATTTGGTAAATCTTAAGATAAACAATCAATGTAAGTAAAAATAATAACTATTGTTGAAGTTCATTAGGTACTAAATTAATGACTAATATATAGTATTAGATACACACATTTATGTTATTATATCAAATTTATATTATTATTATTACATATTACTGCGATGTTAATAATTATTTTATTATTATTATCATTATAATATTAATTTACATGTTACTGCAAAAATTGAAACTATGCAATAAGTGACATTTTACTGCGATTAACTTAAACCATTTTTATTAAAATGTATTATTATTTAAGTATTGAGTTTGGTAATTTTTATTTCGACTTTAATTAGCCAAAAAGTTACCTATGTGATAAAAGTTGTTTCTATTTAATATTGCAACTGTCTTTGACTGGTGAATAAGAATTAATAAGGTGTTATTGCTTGAAAAAACGTATGAATAACAGATGTAAGTGCGATCAAAATATCAAATCAATAATTGGTAAATGTCCGAATTTCGCACATTTACCAACAGTAGTCTGCGAAACATATAGGATTAACCGGCATTCGTACTTTTACCGTGAAATATATATAGATACTACTAAATTTGAACTGTTTTTGAATACCTATCATATCTAATAATTATAATTTTCGTTTAAGTATAAAGGTGCAGTTAATTAAATTATTCTTCATTGATTTTAATATGTAATTATCATAAAAAAATGAGAACTTATCTCCATCTGTAATAAGTTCCCCCTGGGTTATGGTTATGTATGTAGAATATTTAGCACTTCTAGTCCACTTACTTCTTCCTCTTCTTCTTCGTCAAGTACTTCTTCGTCTTCTTCCTCGTCATCAGTGTCCCTCATCAGTTTCGCCATCTTGTCCACTTCTTTCTGCAAAATTTTGTACTTTTTCTTCTCGGACTTGAGCTCTTTCTGCTTCTTGGCCAATTCCTGTTTATACATTCGGCGATCCTTGAGTGCGGAAATCTGTTTGTCACGTACGGCTTTCAATTTAACTTCCAATAGTTTCAGCTCTCTGGCCGTCCTCCTGGCCTCGTCGATCTCCTGCGACGCGTCGCTAGAACCGTCATCTGAACTGTCATCGTCGTCTTCCTCCTCGTCTTCCTCTTCTTCCTCGGATAGGTGTTCGACGGATGGCATCACAGACAATTTTTTCATGGACATTTGTCGGGGGACCGGCTGTTGGGCAACCACTCGGCTAGACAGCGCGGCTTTCAGCTCCAACTCTAGTTTTTGATTTCTGAGCCAGGCGCTTTCAAGTTTCCGTCTAGTGCTGTCCAGTTCTTCGGCAGTCACGTGATACTTCTGCTCCATATCTTTGGCGATGTGGTCGGCTTCTAATGCCTCCGCTTTTAGTTTATTGATGAGCTATATAAAAACAAGACATACACATGTATTAATGCCCCTAGAACAAAGTTCCTTGAGTCGTTATCACATCAAACGCAGTGATATGGGGTGATTCATTTAACCTTAACGTATGATACTTATTGTTTCAGAAAACACAAATCACTACCTACTCAATAACGTACCTATTTAAAAATATGTCTTTAAAATAATGTTGATTACGATAATTATTAGGTACACTAAATTACACAAATACATTTCTTTCTATTTTTTAAAGTTTTCTTACTCATTTGAATGACTACATGCTTTTTCAAAGTCATATTCCAAAAGAAATATTATTCGAATTATCTATTAAAATTAAAATTTCAGACAAGTAAATTTAGTTTTAAGTACCCATTTAAAATTTAGATGACCGGAGTACCTAGTGTATAAATAGTTTGCGTAGTACCCCTGATACCACTACCACTACATTCCACTTATTTAAAATTTAAATACTTATAGAAATTCCCCCAACGGACAATGAAGAGCCCTCATCAGAAGATGAAGAATAATCAATACTATTAATATTATATTATACTGTATCAAAATTATTATTATTACTATTATTATTACATATATCATAAACTTAAAACTTATTACCATGAATTATATCATTACTATCATCAATTTAAATGGTAAGATTAAATTATAATCGTAAATATATTTGTGTTAGCACTTGGAGTGCTGAAACATTTTTAAAGCATAAATAAAAAAAAAAAAAATACTTAAATACTTTAAATAGTTATAACTCATAAACTACTCATCCAAAATTCGATTTTGATATATCGAAGCATTCGAAAAATATTCTGCTTTGGAATAATGAGTTAAAAATACATAATGCCACTAAAAAATTAAAAATTAAAACGATTAAAAATAGTAAATTGAAAAAGAATGTTGATTAAAAACGTTAATATAGCTATTGAAATGAATGCAATGACGTACAYAGAGGGGGCAAACGGGCTAAAGTCCTCCCCTACTGACTATATTATTTATTATTATTTGTTTTTATATTTACCCATGATTTAATGCAATATATTAAATCGTGTGTTTACCTAGTTATTACAACCAGTCTATAAATATATATATATAGTATAATAATAACTACTATATAATAACTAATGAAGTATCTGCTTTATTTTTCAAACCTTATCTTGGGACAAATGAGTGATTTTTTATTTTCAAGTTCCTCCCCTCCCCATTAAAAAATCCTGCGTACGCCACTGATGCTATGCATTAAAAATGTTAAATGGATCACCCAGTACATATAATTAATTATGCACTTGTTGGTCTGTGTCTGATCTCATAGGTCCAGAGGTATTAAGTGGTTTGTCTTTAAGTTCTTCTTGTAAATTCGCAACTCTGGCCAAAAGTCGTTTATTTTCCCGTTCCAGTGCCTCTTTGCTTCGCAATTCCAATGCGAGCATTTGTTTGGCCGACTGCAAATCGTCTCGCACCTAAAACAATAATCGATCCGGCATGTATAAAAATAAGTGACTATAAAGCTAGTTATGTTATATCTTATAATGTGCAAACTTTATCAATGTCGTCGAGTTCGTCAGGCTCTGCAGCAGCGGCCACGACGTCAGCCATCGACACGGACTTTTGTATTTTTTCATCAATCGTTTCTTGTCTTCTAAACTTTCTAAGACCTAATTCAAAATATATACAGTGATGAGTCACTATACTCGATATATTTTAATTATTGTTAAAAAGTATTAAATTCTTTAATTATTTGAATAAAAAAATGAATCACCTTACTTTTTCACTCTGTACCTATGTTTATATATATATACTATAAATATATTTGTAATGTAACACCTTACTAAAAATCTAATAAAATCTTATAGATAGTATAAAATTATATAATTAATTACTGAAATTAAATAATAAATATTATTCGAATAGTTTTTGAACAAAAAATAAATTATAAAATACTGAACACTATAACCACTGMAGCTGTGATATAAAAACTTAAAGGTAAACCTCATATACTTTAGGCATCGTATAAATAAATAATTTATTTGTTTGTTAAATAAAAAAAMCAACTCACAATATGATTATTACTTTTTTTTTATTTCCCTATAATTTGTGACGTCCAACAGTCAGTAATAGGTAACTTATTGTATTTTTTAAATTATTTTTTGTATTTATGTAATTGGATTTCAGTTTTTTTTAATCAAAATCAGGGTAGGTGATATTTTAATGTCATTATGTAAAATATTGTAATTTTCGTCAAGTTTTCTGCGATTCATAATAGTTTTCACCGTCCCTATGAGGTCTATCGTCTATATACATATATTAATATATTATTATTCCAATATAAAAACCTCATCGTACATCCGGGTAAGCGTCGTTATGTTAAGCAGAGGTATTCAAACTTTTTCATCACCCCCTGGGAGCAGGCACGTAGCACGAATTTTATTTTAGGAGGTGGGCGAAATACATTTTAATACATTTCTTAAACACGAATATAAATATTATTATTATAATATTTAAAACCTTTATAATAATACAAAATAGTCTATAGTAATTAAATATTTTCAACTAATGTCTTTAATATAAATTGTCTGTTTTTGAGCTATTATATCCAATACTTCATCTGTTGAGATAGACACTTCCCAATGTACTGAACTACTGACAGAAGAGTAAGTCCCGTTAAACGCTCATTTTCAGTTTTATTACGAAGCCGTGTTTTTAAGCAATTTAGTGCTGAACATTTTAATTTTAAGGATTAAAATTTTATACGAAAGAACGGAAAAATTTCCGTGGGGGGAGGGGATTACGTGCCTGCCTGGGAGCCACGACGCACAGTTTGAATACCTCTGTGTCTGTGTTATAAAATTATATAAATTATTGTACCTTCTATATACGGTTTGCTCTTGTCGTTCGTCTTTACTTTACGAAGTTTGACGCCGTGCTGGATGTCTTTTAGCAGCTGATGGTGATCGGTTTCTTCTGCTTTCGTTTCAGATTCGTACAAAAACTGTTGAAACAGTCACAATGCTATTATCGGGTACAAATAGTATTATTCACCAAGTCTACATCATGACCACATACTATATAAACGTGTAAGCAGTCTTGGGTAGTATAAATAAGAAAGTATTAAAAATACTTCTGATATAATTCTGAATTACTACTTAGAATATTTTATTCCCCTAAAAAAAATACTTTTTATTAAAGATAATAATTGTTTTTTTTCTGGGAAGTTTTACAATATATCTCTATACTCTTAAAAATTTTAAATCAAGGATCAACAACTGAAATTATATTATACTTAGAATTATTTAATAAGTTGACGTTAATTTCAAATTTTCTCTAAAAAAAGTATCATTGGTTTAATATTTTAAACAACAATCAAAAAACATTTTAAAAGTATACTAAATACTTTTTAAAAGTATTTTAGCCATGTTTGATATGATACATATCTGATACCTACTGTAAAATGTCAATATTACATTTTAAAAATTGTGGTTTATAGGGTTGTTGCAAATTGCAACAAAATTAGAATATTGGTATATGAGAAGTTGAGTGAATATCCAATACTGTAATTCAAATGCCCCATACAAATTTAATTTGACTTTCCGGTAGAAATTTTTTATTTCATAAGATTAGACAAACTCATGAAGAATCTTGTATTGAATTTTCAAGTCTTAGATTTAAAAAGGTAAATTTTTATGAACTTTTAATGCTTATTAAAAAAAATTGTGACTTTGTATTTTTAATATTTTTTAACTAAAATTGTAACAATATATAGGAGCCCTGTATCAAACTTTGAAGCTTTTCACCAACCGAATAAAATTTTGTCATTTAAAAACCAAAAAGATTGAAATTTTTAAATATCTATAAATAACTTAAAAGATTTGAAATATTTTTTTTATCAAGTACAGAAAATGCCAGTATAAACATTCAGTGAAAACTTGATGTATTTACAAGTAATTTGTTTTAGAATTGCACACCAATATCGGCAATATCTAAAATCGATTTTCTCAAAAACTGAATTTGCGTAAAAATGCCTGTTTTTCCTTAATTATTTTCATTTTTATTTTTCTCAGCGCTTTTAAAAACTACTAAGAATATCAAAATTTGACCTCCTCGATGCATCAACTAGATTCCAACCGGAAAAGCTACTGAAGTTGAAAATCAAAGAACTAATTTGACAACTTATCGTGTACGCTGCAGACACAAAAAAAAACACACATCATCATAAAATTATTACATTCATTCATCGCTCCGCTCAGAATCTAAAACAAATTATCTCCGATTAAACGCTTACCTGACCCTTGGACTTAGTACTAGGTATGATCGGAGCACTGCGATCATTGCACTCGACGTGCTTTAACTTCCTTCCGCTTTCCACTTCTTTCATCATGTCCGACCAGTCTGGACGTCTCCTCGGTCGACTTCGCAACGAATCCAACTTCTTCATTTTTTCCTGAGTCAGTGGTTTTTTAGCTGAGAAAATTAAATTATTAGATCACTAATGCACAATTATTATTCAAAATCTGACCTATGCAGGTGGATCTATTTGTAATATTTATGACACGCTCACACTAATAGTTGTCTTCAAATCAATTGCACTCGCATACGCTTTGAAATCGAAATATAATTATAATAATATAACATGGGAAGCAAACAACGGTTTATTAGTTAATCATTCTTATCGGACAAATTCTAATTAAACTTTTTGGTTGGAACATTTCCAACACTATATTTACGTTACATTATAGTCATCGTTCGACATTACTTTATACACTCGCACTCACGGCTAACACCTATATAAGTATATAACTATTAACTATGTAATCATTTTCAACCTTCAATTTATATTTTGCTTTACAACGATAATAGGCTTGTGATATATTTTGCCATTTTTCTCAAAGCAAAAATTGTTTGGTAATTACAAAACTTTTTTGCAAGCTAATCAAATTAAGTTTAAATTTCATGCAACTTATATTTAATTCTTATTATAATAATAGTTTTTAAATTTGAATGTTAATATAAGCTTATACTGTATACTAGTTTAAACTAATGTTTCTACAATAAAAAACATCGTTACTAAAATCAAATATGAATTACAAAAAAAACTTAAATAGGTACTACAAATAAATGATTCGTTTGAGAACTTAATATATAGTTTCAAAAAGTACTTTTTTTCGTACTGATTCATAGATTTACATTTTTTGACTTGTTTGGATAAAGGCCAATTATTATTTAGAGATGTTTATAAGGAACTTGTATGCACGACCTAGATCTTATTTCAGTATAATATAGTATCATTTACCGCACTTAAACTATTAAAAATTTCGAAATTATTATTATATTATATTAAAATGTTAGTAAAAATTTAATTTTCTACACCTCGTAAATAATCAGAATATTTAGTTGTTAGATGTAACATGTAATGCATATTAAATATTTATAAAACAAAAACAAATAATAACATTTCACATTTCACATTTTGAAACAATTGCTTACTTTATATAAAAATTGTTCTAAGCTTACAAAATCGTGAGTATAGCTATAATAGTATAATTATATTATATTAACTTAACTTTTGCGTATAATAACTATACGTATGTGTCTCAATTAAATTATGTGTTAGTAGATTATACGCTTTATCTTAATTACGCATTTATAGCCTTATAGGTATTATTATAACAATTTATTTTTATTAAAACTACAATGTGTATTTATTATTACATCAAATTCACAAAAAAATATCATTATAATTTATTCGTTGAAAAATGCGATATTTACGAACTAACCGATTTAAAACTTTCGACCATCATAAAAATGGCAATTTTGAAGATATCAACAAACTGCAAAGATCAAAGTTGTTCAGAAAAAATAAAGCAATCGAAATCCGGTCTTCAAAATAGAATTTCCTATTTAAGAAATTTTTATTTTAATGCGCATGCGCTGATAAAAATAATTAAAAATTAGAATTTATCAAAAACAGATGTATTTATAAATCTATTTGCAGTATAAAAATCCAGAATCAAATTCAAGGTCACGCGATCGAAATATTTCCTGTTACCTTTAAAATTGAACACACGGTATATATATTAACTTGTGTGTTTATTTAATATGTGAGTTAAACGACGATCATGAAACGCTAATAGAAACTCTTAGGTTCTTCTTGAACGGTTTTTTGACGGAGATTAGTGTGAAGGGTGAGGTTAGATATATACGGTGGACAGTAATTTTTCTTTATGTAATATTTTGAAACGTCTACATTTTTTAAAGATTTTTTAAGAATTACCCCATAATTGGAGACCATAGGTCCATATAGGTTTTAGTAGAGATTTGTACATAATTAGTTTAATGTTTAAATTGTAATAATTAATAAATGTATTAATTATTGTTGAGGAGTGTTTTAAACATTGCGTAGTCGGGAATTCAGCTGCAATCTTTTGGTTTTAATATGGTGTGCTCAGGTGAGACGGCGGTCGATTGTTAGTTCAAGATATTTAACGGTAGAAGTTGAAGGCATTTGAATTTTGTAGAGAATTGCAGGTGGATATTGTGCTTGTTTAAAGGATGAAAGTTGTACGAATAGATTTGGCTTGGTTGACTTTAAGCCGTCATTTTCTGAACCAGTCCTCCATTTGAGAGAGATGATTTTGGAGATAAGTGGAAGCTAGAAGCCTAGAACAGGGTCAGCGCGAATTGATATTATTGCCTTTTCATCAGCATATAGTAACTAAGGTGTTAGGCGTAATATGTTGGCTTGAGGTAAAAGTATTGAATAGAACTGGAGAAATAATTCCTCCTTGCGGAACGCCAGCTTTAATGTTTGCCATATTTGAATGTGCAGATCCATGACGGATTTAGAAGTAAAGGTAATCGAGATAAAATTTTATGAGAATATAGTAAATTGAGGGTAGACATTTCTTTAATTTATATAGTAGCTATCCGTTCCATACTTTATCAATAGCTTGAGACCAATCAAAAACCAAAAAAACTATTTTCATAACTATTTACATTACGAAATCGTTTTGAATCACAAGCATAAACTGAACCTGCTGAAATAGTGATGGATGCATCCGCAGTTCCCGAAGAAGCTAATTTCACTGACCACATAAAACCACCACCTTCGATTTTCATGAAAGGTGTATTGGATTTTAGAGGCCTTTGTTAAATTTCAATCTAGCTGATAAAAGTTGAAAATTTATATTACAAATCTGCCTCCCATTGACTAAAAATACAGACTGCAAATCCAGAATTGTATAGATTACTTATTCATTATCTAAAAGATCAAAACGCGGAATATCATACCTACCAACTAAAAGTAAATAACCCAACTAGAGTAGTTATACAACACATTCACCCTTTCACTTCTACTGAACTGATAAAATGAGAACTAGAAATGTGTCTCTATGAGGTCAGGCAGGTTAAGAACTACAATTCTACTCATGAAACCCCACCTAAGCTTTTTAATAGCTCCACCGATCGTTATGAATGCCATGACCTAGTTAACCAGGAAATCAAACAAAATGTTAAATTTAAAACTAACGACAATATTGATTCTGCAGTGAAAAATTTCACAAATGTAATTCAATCTGCGGCCACCCCTATAACCTTAAATACACTCTCCAAAAACCAATTTTCACTACGAAACAGCATACGTATGCTCATAGCAGAAAAACAGAGATCTAAAGCCGTTTATTAATGAACCCGCGACTACCATCCAACAGACAAAAATATAACATATTCACAAATTCACTCAAAAAAATCCTATCGAAAAACAAATCGATTTATATTGCAAATCACCTATCCTCGGCCCTATCGACTAACGATGGAAGTATTTGGAAATCAACTAAGCAATAATTATTACAACCCAAGCCATCCAATAAGAAAAACCGATGGTAATTTTGCCTCATCTGGCCTTGAGAAAGCTAAATTATCTAAAAATCATCTATATGATACGTTTCAACGCTACCCAGAAATAATTTTACCTGAAAATATAAATACTGTCCAAATGTAAAATATATATAATATTGGTTTTACCTAAATTCGTTTTTATATACGTATTACATTATGTAATAATAAAATAAACACATACGAGACAACCGCGAGTGAATGGAGTAAGTACCTCACAAACCTTGTATCATTTTCTGTTAGGTTATTTACCATGTTTAATAATTAAATTTCTAATTTGTATTATGGTTATATTATCATTGTAAATTTAAAAAGAGCACTCCTATTAAATATTCTGTACATACCTAAACTAATAATATATAAGGAGGTACCTACCAATAAAATAGTCGTAAGGAATATGGATTAGTCTACAAGAAGTTTAACATCGACAAAGTAGTGAATTTTCCTTACATATTGGTGGTAAACCGCTGTTGGAATTCGCCGTCACTGACAAAGGAGGTGGCGGTGGCGGTGGTGGGCCTGGTGCTCGGGATGGCATTACCGGTGGTGGTGGCGGTGAAGGCAGTACTGGTGCAGATGGCGGTTTTGGTGGCGGCGGGGGTGGTGTTGGGACCGATGTGGAAGTCACAGGAACTTGAACCACTTTGGTTGGCGGTGAAGATGGTGCTRGTGCTGAAGTCACAGGAATCTGGTCCATCTTGGTAGGCGATGGTTTTGACGTCGGTGGTGCAATAGTGGTTGTCACGGATGTCTTTTTTTTTATCTTTTCCGGAACTTGTGTGACAGCCACCGGCACGACCCTGCTATTGATCTGCAATGGACCTTGGTAATCGATCTGAATGTGCAAAAACAAAATTATGTACCTACTTGTTTAATATAATTATACTATTACGATTAATTATAGTTATACACTTATGGTCGTGCATTAGTGAAAATCTGCAGACTATCTATAACTTTTAAGTAGTAAATGTACTAAGCRCATCCTATGAATACCTACAAAAACGTTTTGAAAAATATACATTACAAGTTTTTGAATAACTTCAACACTTCCCAATCAAAACAATGTCATACCAATTTAAAATTAATATTTGATACAATATCTTATATTGCAATATGGTCGCGTTAAACTTTTTAAAAATCAATTAAATAATTAATTAAATTTCAACATCTTTAAATGGAAAATTAATAATTTTACTATATGGCAGTATTTGAATAAAAYTAATTCCAAGAAGAATGGATGMATAAAACCAATTTCTTTTTTTTTTAAAGAGAACGAAAAGAGTTTTTTTAAGGAAAAAGAAAAACATTTTCAGTTCCATAATGAATGACTGAGGCACAATTTTTTTTTCAAAAACAGTTACARCACAAGTTATCTTCTATAAATAACTTGCCAAACACTGGTGACTGGTGTATGATAGGTATAGGTACATCGTACTAACCTCAAACAATGTCCAATATGAATGTAAAGACAAATATAACGAATAGAAAGTCAGTTTTAGTTGGTTAACTATTAATTATTATCTCATATTTACAATTACTTATCAGTAGAGTTAGGATGTTGATGACTTTTACATTTTTTTCCTTTTATTCTGTACAATGCTATCCTAGCTAAAAATTTGTTTCATGCTCCCTTGATGCAGAATATTCTAATTTTATTTTGCATTTTTTTGCATTTTTTGAATTTTTAGCTATAAATGCATTTTTTTGTTTTTTAACGTCATTTTTTCATCTTTTAGGGCATTTTTTGTACTTTTAATACAATGTGGGGAATTTTTCACAAATTATAGATTTTAGGGCAAATGTTACCCCCAAGTTTGGAAACAAATTTAATTTATTTAAAATCTAACTCTGGATTTGGACTATTAGTAAAAAATAATTTTAATATTAATTAAATATACATTTTAAATTTATTTATACCCATATCTATAATAAAAATTATTATTTATAAAAAAGTTTTTTCACTTACTTAATTAGTATTTCAGATAATTTTTAAGGTCATTTTTTAAAGTTTTCAGGGCATTTTTGCACTTTCTTTAGGGCTTTTTTGCATTTTTTTAGGGCATTTGTGTGTGTTTTTTAGGTCATCAACATCCTAACTCTACTTATCAGTTATCTGATGGATGAATGTATAGACTATAGAGAAGTTAAATTAATAAACCTTTTAACTAATTAAAATATTATAATTGCCAATATCATAATTTATAAGATTATTCAATGAATCTTTTACATCTCCATCTCGCCTAATCGCATTTGAAAACTGAAACTAGTATTGGTAACTCAAAACCAAAATAGAAAGAATTTAGTATTTACTCTACTTATAACCCATATAATTCTATTAAAAGGATATCAGCGCGACAGCGCACTATTTGTTTTATATTTCTGAGACCTAGACAAATTTTTTTTAGTATTTGACTTTTGAATAGGTAATCTTAGAGTAAAATTAGCCATCAAAATAATTATTAATAATAATATATTTGCGAGTTTGATAATTAGGGATCGGATTTAAATTTTCTAAAAACATCAAAAAATGCATTTATTAACGAGTGAAATTGTGTAGATACCTATAAAATATAAAAAAAATGAATAAACAGTCACATACACCACCGATTTAATATCCTTTAATAAGAAAATACTCCGATAAAAATTGTATTCAATTAAATCGGCTAATTGGTTGGTGTGGTATTCAGATAAATTTCAGCTTTGTCTAATTTAAAACCAGATTACTAGTAGTTATGTAGTTCAAAATGAAAATGATTTATATCGCATGTTAGTACTGAATTTTATTATTTTAGTAATAATTCGAAAAATAGATCAAATAAATGTCTTTTTTAATTTAAAAAAATGCGTTAAAAACTTTAAAAATGCCCTGAAAAGTATAAAATCCACTTAAAATGTAAAAAAAAAAATTGGAGCACTTGAAACACTTTTTTAGCTTGGAAAGCAACATGTAAGACATTCCAAAAACAAACAAAATGCAAATGCATTAAAATCCGAGCCTTAATGAATAATGATAATGTATCAATTTGTCTAAATGTTATCTATAAACAATTTATTATTCGTTTAAAATTTAAATCCACAAAAAAATGTTATTTTTAAAAACGAATATGAAGTTAAATAATAATAAAATATAATACCGAAATGTCAAACCTTCAAAATTATTATTTTTTAGTAGGTAATTTAGTATTTACCACTGAGATTATTTAAAATTTATAAAAACTGAATTTACATTATTGTGTTTTATCCATATTGCGCATGGATCTTAAAGATAAAATATCCATTAATTAAGCTTTAACAAACTCTTAACAAGTCWTGCGTCATGCATAGATTCCCGGAGATATTATATTAAGTATCCTATCCTATTATATTATCTACTCATAATTCCTCAATTGTATCTACTACTAATTAATAATTATATCTACCTAGTACCTACACAAAACTACCTTTATGATGCAAGTCTATCACCAAGAATACAAGACTTCGCTAAAAAACCCATTTTAATTCTTAGTTCTTACACAGTAAAAAATAGACACATATGTAAGTTCCTACACTGCATATATTATTACGCATAAATATAATATATATAATTTATAAGTTATTAATCTAATATCAGTCTTATATCATATGATATTGGCATACATTTTAATATAGGTAAAAGGTAATAATAAAAAGGCGAGTAAGTCGTGGATGTCGCTCTGCTGTACAGTAGGTTACAAGTGGGTTACTGTAATGGATGGAATTAAATTTGAATCCAATGATATTATATCATTGTAT